AATATTATTACTTGTTATGAGAAAGAAACAAAATCTAAATCGTATGAATATTTCAATTTTTCTAAGTCTCATATGACACTCGATGATTTTGTTAACAATGAATGTGGCATATATAAAATACTTATTTTATATTTTAAATGTATACAAGAATTTCATATACTAACTGTTGATGATCAAATAAAATTAATTCGATGTAATCTAAGAACATTTATGCCGTTAAATTTTCTAATATTAAAAAATTTCGTAGAACATCCAACACCCAACGATATTATGTTATCGATACATGGTGAAGAATTTCATAATAAAATGATAAAAATAAACAAAAAATTTGATATTTTTGTTTATAATTCAACTGTAATTAAATTGATGCTCATTATTTTATTATTTAGTACAAGTTTACTTACAACGAACAATATGAGTTCAATGGATACAACTGTTAAAAATATTAAACAATTATATGATGCTCAAAACTATTATACAGAATTATTATGGAAATATATGTTGCACACATATGGTGAATCTGAATCAATTATTGTATTTAATTTAATAATTTCTCAATGTTTAAATCTACAAAATCTTACACTTGAAAGAGATGAACAATTAAGAATAAAAACTAAGTTCAATAGTATTGAACCATTAATGCAATCTGTTTTACAAATACCATATCAAAATTTTCTTTAGAGCTTTTTCAATATATTTTTTCTAAATATTTATCTATTTATAAACAACAAATTAATAAAGTAAATGTTCGGCTCGTTGCCCTTCTTCAGTATATAAAACAAATACACATAAAATTAAGTAAACATAAAAGAATAAAGTTTAAGAAAATATATATGACACACCTAAAAGTAAAATGTCAAAGAGATAAATGAGGATGAATAAAAATATTTTGCTAAACTACTACCATCGCCCGAATAGAGTGCGAGTAACCATTTTTATAATAACTCACTAACGGCAAACAACAGAATGTTACAGTTTTCAGCAATTGAAGGCAGATGTCTGAGGCTAGTTTTCCACCAGTAGAAACGACTTTTTAAAAATGTGTGAAATCGATTTTTGAGCAGATCTTTGAAAAACTACTTCAAATCTCTGGAAACTACCATTGAAATCTATCGATTTTTTTCATAGTTGTACAATAAAGAGTGTCCTCAACAAAACTGGATCTAACCGACATCTTGAAAATCCATGGTTCCCACTTGTCAGATCTTTTCTCTGAGACGTCGGAACTCTCCTTCTGTTAGATCTGGGACCGGTAAAAACGCTTGGAAGTATAGGTTATCGACTATGCTGAATCGCATGGCAATGTTAGTATTCAGAATAAAACGCAGGAACCAAGTGAAATCTATACTAGGTGAAATAAGCCAGTTTTGATTATTTTCATCATAAATTAAAAAATTTATAACTCAGCGAACATCCAACTTACTTCAGAATGTCAGAAAATACTCTATTTTATCTGCAGCATACTTTGATTTTTAGAAAAGTTTCAAGGAAATCTTCAAATTAAGAGAATATTTTTTATTAATTGTAAGTACAGAATCAGAATGAGCGAATAAGACAGAGTATTTTCTGACATTCTGAAATAGGTTGGATGAATTGTCATTGAGTTATAAATTTTTTAATTTATGATGAAAATAATCAAAACTGGCTTATTTCACCTAGTATAGATTTCACTCGGTTCCTGCCAGAGATGGGCAAGTCTAAGTCATGACTGAGACTGAGTCACGACTGATGGTTTTTTTTTCGAGACTGAGACTTGACTGAGACTGACGATTTTCTATACCTTGACTGATTGTTTAAAAATATGACTGATGTTTTTTTCATAAAAAGTGAGAGAAAATCAAAAAAAGTAAGCAGGAAGACATATGAAGATGAAATGAAAAGAAAAGTCTATATGTTATCAAAAAGAAGATATAATGGCAAAAAGTAAATAACTATACATAGTGAATAAAGAAATACGTATATGATGTATAATCTACTATGTGATACCGGTAACAGCGAAAGTAAAAGAAAAATGTCAAATCTATAGTCTAGTTTATATATGTACACTACACTATCTATGTAGGATACACGTGAGAGATCACAATGTGATCATCATATCTCTCACACACAGTTCAGTTTGTTTGTTTCTCAAAACGTCTTCACAACGTAACCCTCCTAGTTTAATTTCTACTAATCTGAAAAGTTTTTTGGAGTGGACCTGTAGAGTGTGTTTTCTCGCAGAGCGGTTTCTTAATGTATCCACAGAGGTCTAGAATGACAAAAAATACTCTTCCTACTCTTACACTGTTAAAATGTAACTTTAAATTTCTCGATTAAGATATTAGAAATATTTCTGTGTCTTCTTTTTTTGTTAAATACTACGATCAGAATAAAAAAGAAAGAAAGATGGGGAAGTATAAGTCATGACTGACGAAGGAACCTCTCGAGGTGATTAAAAGCTTTTCGACTCAGACTATTTTCATCATGTAGGGAATAGTCAGTAGTGAAAAACCCCAAGTTGGTTTGGGCCTATGCGCCTTTTTGACGGAGATATGAGTTAATTAATGAAAATACCATTAATAATAATTAATTAATAGCTCA